TCAGACCCTTTAATTCAGACTTATTCTAACCGGACCTGATTTTGGTTCTGGCAGACGTCTAAAAGCAGAGTTACCTTGAACAAACTGTTTGACTTTGGGGTTTCTATGCAGGCGCTGAGCAAGACGGGCAGGGAACCTATTGCTTGTCAGTTTCCCAACAGCAGATCCTTGGCTAGTCATCGCTCTGGCATGGCCATTGTTGGTGAAGAGATATAAATCAAGGACAGGAACATCTCTTCCCAGACCATATCCAGCTAGACCCCTCTGGTAAGTGCTATGAACCTGGCTTTGGGGCAGGTAAAGCCTACTCAGAGACATGCCACGTCCATTTGGGACAGACTCATCAACAACAAGGTCATGATCATTGTAAGCAAATGAGTGTAGCTTGTTGCGACCTTGAGGATCCCAATTCACAGAGTCAGGCTGGCCTGGGGCTTCAGACAGAGTTGGAGGGGCAACATGCTTGACCTCAAAGTTGGACTGGTGGTTAATAACAGACTGTCCTCGGGGAAAGCTAAGCGCTTGGTCAGTGGTGTATTCACTCTGAACTGGATTGTAAGTGCCATGGCTCAGTCGGAAGCTGGATTCAGAACTCCGGGGATGAAGTTGTTTATGTATTCTGCCATCTAGGGATCTCACTCCCAGTAGACTTTGTCTGTAAGGTGCAGTGTTAGGTTCAGTCTTAACACGGTCACTGTTATAGTAGAGTTGAGGTCTGAATGGAACGGTGCTGGGGTGCATCCCATGGTGAGCTGGTCCATAGACTGTCTGTCTGCCATAGAGATCAGGGGCTCCATGGACTCCAGGAAAATCCAAACCCAAGGCAGCTGCACGGGCTAGAGCAACATACAGAAGTATTAACAAACTGTATATGCTGTTTCATTGTCATGCAATGTCAAAGATACCCGTTAATTGGTTAATTATAAGAAAATGGTGACATCAATAAAAGCACACTACATACCTCTTGCTGTTTTAGCACAATACACACCTCCAGCTGACACAGACTGAAGCACAATGACGCTGCAAAAGACAACAAACACTGTGAGCCAAACAACACAGTGCTGAGCACCAGAGAGTTTTACCACAAGAAACATTTAGGTTTAAAGTACCTGAGAAAAACCACCGAAGCTACACACATCCCTGCAGTTATTTCAGCACAAACTTCAAGACAATGCAATTACTGGAAACACTTGCCACTTTTGACTTCTTTTGCAGCCACTCTGACTGCCTGAAACCTCACCCTGGCTTGATTAACTAATTACAGACAGCTGGTTGTCATAGAGACCAAAACTCAACCACCGAATCTAGTCAGCCACTGGCAAATTGCTTCATTACAGGCAATTAGTTAAAATGCTTGCGGGCGGCAGAATTTGACAAAACAAGACATTTTTGTTATTTTCATTTTAGTGAAGTTAAACACAGATTTTAAACATGTAAGTGTGAGCAGTGTCATGCAGGTAGTTATGGTTCGGTGTAATTTTGAACAAACTTGTAATTCTGTCATCTCTCCCAGCAAAAAGAGAGGTTTGTAAAGCCTTGGTTGGAAAATGTGTAAATAGGTGTGAATACAATTTTATTTATTTTGCAATCCTAGCATAATGAATAATATAACCTCAGCACTTTAAACTACCTGAACAGGTAGCTAATTAAAACTTTAACTTTACTAGACCTACAAATGATTGATAATGATTGATTGATTAATTGACCACAAAATTAAAATGATCTCATTAAGCTTGATCGCTTTTATTAAACGGTACAGCAGTAACTGTAATTTTTCTTTTATTTGCCATTAGACATGTGCAGTTCAAGGCTATTTGAAAACAAGCACTATTAATAACTTTACTTTAAAAGAGAAAGGAGCAGAACTTTGATTCTTGCAGGTGGGTACGTCTGAGCCGACAATGAAGCAGCTGAGAGCAGTGGAAGCATTTAATAATTCACTCAAATTATTTCTGTCAGGACTGACGAGCTAAACGGGGGCTTGATTTAATTCTGTAATTGCACGTTCACCTTTACCCTGAACCCATACTTTTGTAATTAATAGGCCCAAACTTTATTTGAAGTGTGGCACGGCAAGTAATGGAATTTAAATTGCAGGTGACGTGAAACCAAAGATGTGAATGCCCACTTGGCCATGGAGCTCATGTTATTTTCTCACCACAGTGTCACCTGGAGGAGGACGATGCCTAATCTACCTAACTACCTACCTCAACCTACAGGCCCAATCCTAATGCTAATGCACTTTGAAGACAATGTGTCTGTTGTTAAGTATTAACTAGGATTGACTTGAACTTTGCTATTTGACTTGTGAGATTATGTTCAGTGCACAGCCCTGATAAACACACAGTCCTACACATTCAAACTGTCTAATACATACTGGTGGTGGTGGCGGCGGCATGCCCATCAGCAAAGTGACTGTACTTTGCCTTGTGCTGGCTAACATTTCTAGGGACTAATGCAGACCTATAGCCCATGTGGACGAGGTTGAATTGCTTGACACACACCCTCTGGATGCAGGTGATGGTATACAAGGTTATCAACAGAGGATCAGTTCGCCACGTCTCAACCTCAGGGTGACGATAAACCCCCTCGCTCGGTTCCCACTACCCCCTCTGGGGCTCATTTGTGTTGAACAGGAGGTCTGCGGTATCATTTCCACAAGATGTTAACACAGACAGAGCAGCCTCACCGGACTGCCAAATGACCAGCGAACTCTGACACTGCAACGATACAACGTTCCAGTAATGGCCATTCCAACCAAAAGGTGGCATGTAATGCGGCGCTTTTGGATTCATGATGAAACCACTCTTGTTTGTTTTGGACTAATTTTCCAAAGTTGTGTAAATATGTATCAGAATCAATTAGGCCTAATAATATACAGTCCTTAGAGGATTCACATCAAAGCACATAAGCACACAATCCAATTAAGAGTGTTTACTGTTTAGATTGAAATGCTCAGCGTTCCGGTCTTAAACTCAATCCTCATATCAGTAAACAGTATTTACCAGAGTGTCTTTTCCAGTGGATGTGTGTGGGCGTACGAGTGCATGCGTGCGCATTTGTTTGTATGTACGAGTCGAGAGAGCGATAAAGAGTGAGAGTATATGCAACTTTGCAATCTTTAATATGTTTTTCTGCATCTGTTTTACATGTTAGTATATCTCCAGCACTCCATCCCAGATACTGAGGTTGCAGACAACAAGAGAATTGGAATTAGAATTACAGACATTGTATTTGCTATTTCAAAATGCTTAATAGGGCTACAGTGAATATTCTTGTAGACAAAAACTGCTAAAGGCAAAGTGCATACATTAGAACCAAAGCATTTTAGTCAAGTGCACATATCCAAGACAATGCTCCAATAAATCTACATCTATATAGTGTATGTTTGTTTATTTATATTCATTATAATATTACATGATTATAGGTGGGTACCCAGTAGTTCTTTATGGTACTCAAACAGTATGGAATCAAGAGCCTGAATAACAGAGACAAAGCACACTAGTGATGTTTGAGGCTGTAAGGTGACATAAAAGTGACAAATACTGTTTGAGGAAAAATGATTAAAACCTTATTCTCCAGGAAATAATCTATAATTAGATGAATGTACTACAGGATTTCAGGCTTCTCTTCCATCTTCCTTCACACTGCTACTCTTTTACTGCTGCTTTCTCATTCTTCTTCTCACCACTATGGGCAACAGATCCTGAACTCTTTGAGCTCTAGGGCTCAGGCTGCCTCCAAAACACGAATAGCAATCAGCAGAGGGAGTGAGGGAAAGGGGAGGAGGAACACACACACACACACACACACACACACATAAAAAGCAACAGTTTCTGTGAGAAAGAAATCGTCAAAATATAGACTGAGTGAGATACCTACAAAATCACAACAGAGAAAGATTGTGTACAAGAGGATGCAAACCATTTGTTTCCACATTACCAAATTAGAAAGCCATCCAATTCATCTGCTGCTCATCCAACTTTCATTATCGAGGCTTGCCTGCACCAGACATGCTGAGACTGCGGTTTGAGACAACAATTAATTTAGGCTTTTTTGGAGCCTGCCCTCTCATCTTTTAACTAAGTGAACATAGACTGTTGCTTGCAATTTGTCCCTCTCTCCAGGCTTTCCATAACAAGAAAAAAGCGACAACAAGATGCTGTAAAGATGCTGCCTGAAGTATAATTAACAATGACACCACCAGGATGGTTTCTTTAAATTCCATACCAATTAGGAAAAGGAACAGTCAGCAAATACCGCTTTTGATATTCTAAACAAATGCCCCTTGTGAATGGTTCCAGAATGCATGCAGTGGTTTGCAATGGGTACACAGTAACCTGTCAGGCCTCAGTGGTGGGTTCCACTTTGCATTGTGCTATCCCAAACCCATCTCCCCGCATTTAGCTTGGTGTCAGGGATTAATTAGCCATGTCTGGTTCTACATAGGAGAACCCTAAGCAAGCTAGTAAAGAAAAAGAATAATGATGACTCAACAGAGGTGTCTTCCTCACAGTGTTATTGCTATCCAAGCAAAGGCATCACCTTAATTCCCATGATGCTCAGCAGCAAATTCTGACAAGTCGAACTGTAGCAGCAAATCAACTGCCATTTCTACTCCATGAGTCTGGTGAGTTAATTATGTAAGTCAATTTATGGTTTTATAAAGTTTCCGCTGTATACTTTCTTTATTCAAATTATTAGTGTATTTTGCCCACAGCTTATTACCTGTAAATAATTTATGTCTTCCTGAGTCTTTTCCTACCACACATACTTTATGTATTTATCAGGAGTTCCTAATTACTTTTCCTTAAAGGCAGAACTCAACTAAGGTAACTGCCAGTGTCTGAGCCTCATATTGTTTCATTAATATAGTGACTCTCTCATTATTTTCACAATATTAACACAAGATTATTTCAGTTCCCCTTTCTCAGATTAGTTTTACTTTCTATACTATTTCAGGATTGCATTTTATTTTTATTTTCACTCTTTAGTTTTATGAGCTACTGTGTATTGCACTATCCAGGTTATCATTTGAGAATCTGTCTTTTCAATATTTTTGAACACATCTTCATCCAGGCGGTTGCTGCAAATGTGTTTCAGTTTAAAAGACACTAAGCACTACCTTCTGTTTCCTAAAGGTTAAATTCTTATTCAACACCGGCTACCCTGGTTTGTAGTTGCCACTGAAATGGACGAGTTGTTTCAAAGCTTGACTTTATGTTGGAAATCTTGCAGAGCAACGTCTGATAGCTTACCAGTAGCACAGTCAGGTAAAGGAGGAATGGAATAGTATATTTCAACAGTCACACCACAAGTTACACATTTTAGTACTCTCTGTGGGTTTTTACACAGACAAGACTTTAAAGACCAGCTGACACCACAGTAAACAAACTTGCACTGTAGCCTTCATGTCATGGGCAGACAGTGTGTTGTTAGTTGCACTGAATTTTTGTACATAATATTAGTGGTGCAGCTGAGCAGCTTATTGTCTATGTAGCTTGCAAACTGAAGTTAGCTTTTGAATGTTTGTTTAAGTTGGATAAGAGGGAGATTTTAGTGGAAGAGATTATGCGGGTTGTTGTTCAAAGTCTGTGTCTCTTGTGTGTGTGCAGGCTGCAGTCTGGTTCAGTGTGACTGTCAGTTCAGATACCTGTAAAATCAGCTCCTTTATTGTTTTTCCTGTGACCATGGCAATCACAGAAACCACAGCAAGCTGCAACAGCAAGTTGAAAAACTTGAACCATCATCAACCCAGACATCAGCAGCAAATAGCTGTGCAAGAGCAATAGCCACCCTCCAGCTTCTTTCCTCGTACATATGTATATGGGAACCACAGTCATCATGGTCCAGTGCTCTAAACATTACTGTTTCCATGTTCTCCAAGTACCCACCCTAAGCCATTAGATCCATGTGTTTGTGGGGGATCACAGATGGTGACAGGCGTTTTTCCACCACAAAAGACATCAGTAATGAATGCTGTAAGTGCTCATAGTGGTGTCATGTCTTGGCACTGAATTCATCATCTGCCATCAAACAAACACTATCATGATTTTATAATGTACCATCTGTAAAACTCAGAAAACAGTTCAGGCAAGCTTTGAGGATGAATCCCGTTTTGCAGAAGAAGCGATGAACTCCTGTGAGAAAGTCAACAGGGACAGCTTGGACCTCAATCATCTTCGAATGCCCCTTAACTGGGAAGCTGGGAGAATG